TAATGTAAAAATTAATAATAAATAATAAACAGCATAAAAATGTTTAATTAATTTTATGTTAACTAAACATCTAATTTAATTCAAAAAACTTCCAACGTAAAATGGGAAATAATTAAAGCGTAAAAAGAAAATTAAAAAGAAGAGAAGTTTTTAGATTCAATTTCTCAGACTGAATTCAATATTAGATATCATGGGCCACGGATGGGGGGGGGGGGTATGATATCAGAGCTTTAAATGTTTGTTTGACGAAATAAACTAAAAATTAACTACATAATGTTTATTACTAAAAGTTTCATGCGTTAGCAATTATTAAGAAAAAAAATACATTATCTATAATGTATTTGAAATAACAAAATTTAAAGTTTTGTGAAAGTAGCAAATATTTATTTCTGATACTGCACATTGTATTTCTGCGTTACGAATACTTTTCTGGATTGAAAAACGGTTCATTAATCACAACTGACATGAATCAATAAATAATTTTAAAACTAATAAACAAAAAGTAAACAAGATTGTCAAGAAAAGTAAATAAGGCGTCTAAAAATTGATTTTTTGAGCTTTTCTTGCCCCCTCCCCCCCCCCCCCTCAAATATCAATGGTATCGTCGTAGCTCACCTTTTTAGCCAAATTCTTCAATTGAAATAATCTAAAGATCAGTAACGCGATCCTGGCCCATTGTCAAACGGAGAGTTTTTTACTTTTTTTAGTTTACAAAACAATCGTTCATCCTTAACAACTGATTCAGGAACATTGTTGAAAATCCGTAGCTTGATGCAAATATGTGGGAAAAGGCGTTCAAACTTCTTCTCAAAGATTTGATTAAGTAGCTGCAGTAGATTTCCTTGCTTGAAAATTGTTTTGCAGGTATTGTTAAAAAGCGAACTTCTTCAATGAGATTCTTTTTGTTCACATTTCTCGGATGAAACCGTGCAAGTTTGCAAATTTTATTTTTAACTGAAATATCATTATTATCTATCCAGACGAATAAAAACATATTGTCAACCACCCTACTCGCCTCAAATTTTGAGTCAATCTGCTATATAGGAATATCTAAACCAACATTAAAATTGTTCTCTTTGAATTTTTTTTTTTAGCTTGTGTGAAAATTATTGTGTTTGATGCTTCGTTGTGAAAGCGCTTTAGTTACGCTTTCTTTTAGTTTTAGTACAACCCCTTTGAAAATATGTAACCAAGAGCCCCTAATTTGTTTAAGATCTTCCAGCAGCTTTCTAATCAAACGAAGATCTTAATCAATGGTAATGACTTCAGAATTTAGAAATCTCTTGCTCGGCTGATATTTTTACTGGCCATATACAGGTTTTCCATGGCATTTGTAAAAGCTGCCAACATTTCTCCCGGCCTATTAGTAGGTGGTTGGTCAAGTCGGTACGAGAGCTCCATTTTGCCATTGAAAGCCTATGCAATAAAATTCCTGTTGCTTCAATAAGGATCTTTTATTGAGCAGGACTTGCACTAAGAAATATGTACAAAGATTCGCCATTTTCAAAAAATACATTGATCTCAATAGCTGATTCAACTGCGTGCATACAAGCCAAATTCAGACTGTGAGAACTACAGGGAACATAAAAAGCTTCCGAATAATTTTGCCTTATTAAAGCTTTAGCTTCCTTGTAAGCACCTGATATATTGCATTCATTTTCGTGTTCCTGACCGCGATAGTTTCAAATACCCATACCTAGCCTTGAAATCATATCATGGATTAGCTTAGCTATATCAACTCCTTTCATCTTCTCGAAAGCTTCAATACACTAGAATTGTCTTTTGATTAACTAGCGATTAGTTTCTCTTTCATAGAGAAGATAATAAATTACAAAAGTTATCTTTTCATTGTGAGATATATCGGAGGTACCATCGAATATGATTGAGAAGGAGATACCATCCTAAACTTCTTCGACAGTTGCACTTTGGATGGAAACACCATATTCTCTGATAAAATCGTTTTGAGGCGACGGAGAAACTTATTCTGGAGTCTTCTTTTTGATGAAGTCATACATTTTCTAAGTGGAATGCAATGACGGGTTTGTGGCTACCAATAAGCTCCATACTAGCAAGAAATTTTCCATTTTCTTTCCTATTTGCGCGTGTTGTTTCACCTGCAAACATAATTGTATATAATAATTATAATTATATTATTACAATAATTATCTATATTTTTTCAAAATTTATATGCAATAAAGCCCAAAAACAAATATGATCTAAATGACAATTTTATTTATAAACATTACTCGCATACAAATTTTGGATGATCTCTTATATCATATAGCAGATTTTTTTGTGGAACCAAATAATTTTAAAAAATTTTGTTTTTTCCCCAAGTTGGAATTTTTCTACTTTCAAAGATAAACTGAAAAAAGTTATTTCGTCAATAGATATATATTCAAGTTCTTTTAATCTTGTTTCTTTTTATAAGTGTTTTCTAAATGTAATTTAAAAAATATTTTTTCTTTTTATTGTATTGTTAAATGGTGTTTTATATTTGAGACCTAATCTTATTTGTATTGTTTTCTTAAACGGTATTTACTTTTCATTTTATATTATCTTAAAATAATTGGTTTATATTTATTGTATTATTAAACGGTTCTCAGTGACGGGATCTTAGAATACTCTTCGAGTTTCCGTGTTCTCATTTTACCAGAAAATATTGTTAAATCAATATATATATATATATATATATATATATATATATATATATATATATATATATATATATATATATATATATATATATATATATATATATATATATATATATATATATATATATATATGTATAAATAAATAAAATTGATAATGAGAGAACTTCATAATGAGTTACTGAGAAATACTAAACACCTAGAAGCCAAGAAAAGAGTCACATCCCAAATTCCACAAAGTATTGTCCTCCATTTAGCTGTCTCAGAATTCAATTGCTTTTGGAGCTCTGAATCTATACTAGTGGAGCTAGTAAGATGATTGGATGCCTCTTACCAATCCATGTAAAATTTTTTGTGCAATGGTTATTGGATTGATGCTGCTTCACGCAAGCATCAATCCAAAAAATTTGTCTATTATTTGTTGTATATCTTCGTTCATCTTGGTGTTTATAAAACCAATTTTTTATTTTATTTTTTTTAATTTTTTTTTTATTGTTGTTATTGTTGATTATTATTTATTTTTAAATATTCCTCTATTAATCTTTATTTTTGTCTTGACAACTGTCCAAATATGCTTTGTCTAATAAATAATTCTTTTTTATTCTAATGTACTTCATTTCTTCCCTCAGGCGTTCACTGTGACCATTCGGCGAGTTTTATATGCCAAAGTTTTTGAATAATTTTTTTTTTACTTTATCCTTATTAGATTTGTATAACAAATAGATTGATAAAGCACATTCAAAAGTCTTCGGTGAAGAGACATTTTAGGTCTGTGTAATGGTTATAAATCCAATATCCTCTAAAGTCTATCATTTTTTTGCTTCTTCTACTGCTTTTTTTGTAGCTTTAGCGCGGTTTTGAGTACTGGAAGATTTCTTTCGACCTATTTTTTAGAAACACATAAAATATTTCATCATTTGTTGTTAATTTATATACAAAGGTTTCGATATCATATTTCCGCATTTATAAAGATTAGAAGTTTTACTTGAAAAACACAAGTTTTATTATATAGAATAATTGGATAAAAGAACATAAGTTAGTTGTCTTTTGCTTAAGGGTTGACATTGGAGTGTTTGCAACAGTCACTGCTTATAGCGTATTTGTTTGCTTTTTGTATAAAAATTATTCTATTGCTTTATTTTTATTGTTGAAGGTACTGTTTAAAATATTTTTATTTGCAGCTAATTTGTTCTATTCAATACATTAAAATATCGCTTTTATTTTCCTCTAACTTGCCAACTAACCGTAAACCAAAAGCCTCACTTCAGCAAGTTTCACTAATGCACCGAAATCTTGACATTTCCACCAACAATTTGATCGAAAATTTGTTTTTTTTCTATTGGGTTTAAAATAGGCATTCCCTCTATTTTGAACCCGTTGCAAAAATTTCAAATATTTGATTACTAGCCAGGTCCAGGCAGAGGCAGTTTGTCTAAAAAATGTGACGTAGCGATTCTCTCTTTTGTTTCAACAGTCAAATACTACTTTAAAAAGTAGCGCTTTTATCGTGAAATCATCAACAAACTTCTTGCTCGTTTCAACTTCTTCAACAACCGCTATCAGTGTCAACTATTTCGAAGCGAAATTTGATCAGCTACCATTATAATTACCAAAGCGCATCTTCAAGGTTGGCAATCAGGTTAATTTGTCCCCTTTATCTCTCCCTCTCAAAGGCCCTGCGTATATATATATATATATATATATATATATATATATATATATATATATATATATATATATATATATATATATATATATATATATATATATATATATATATATATATATATATATATATATTTTGTCTCCGCGAGAAGTTTCACATATTATCATATAAAGGAGAAAACTTACTTAATAAAAGATATGAAATAATATCAAAGTGCCAGCATTCAAAAAAATTTTTACTATCCTTATTTGATACCGGGGACTAAAACCTTTGACGTCTTTTTGTTTTGTTTTGTTTTGTTTGGTAACGTCAGAACTCGTTCCACCGTAGGTAACGTCAGAACTCGTTCCACCTAATTTTAATTTGTAATTTTTAAACTGTTTTTAAGTGACGAAATACACAATGGCTGATGATTGCCGAAAGGCATGAAACTCAGAGTTCCATCAAAAGTTGTTTTTATTCATTTAATATAAATAAATAAATAAATATATATATATATATATATATATATATATATATAATATATATATATATATATATATATATATATATATATATATATATATATATATATATATATATATATATATATATATATATATATATATGTAAATATATATGTAAATATATATGTATATATATATACATATCCGACCGTGATAGATGGAGGCTCGGAAGAA